GAATTGCAGAACATGTCTGTGTGTCCTTTGAAATTGAAGCTGTCCTTGGATGACGTTTTATTATCATGTGAATGTGGTTTGTCTAAACCTCTGCAGTGAAATGTCTCTACTATAAAACTACTATAAAACTACCTGTAACTAAAATAAAGTAGCTTGACGCAGTCATGCATATAATTCACACACACAGCTACTGTCAACTACAGTTAGTCTGAGAAAAAGCAGGAACCTTGTGAAAAAACAAGTTTCTAAATAATATATCTTAATCACAACAATCACTATAAAAATAGGCACAACTTATCTTACATTTGCTTTCTATAATCAATCAATATTAGACTTTTATTCATTGGATGTAAAAGTTGCTGCAGTTTTTCTGATAAGTCTTCTCATGTAATAAAATAGGACATATGATTATAGAAGACAAGATAATGTTAGCAATCTAGAAATGCATGAAAGCTCAACGCAAAAGAATAAATCACCACAATCTAAACTTCAATAAAAAGTTCCTAGAAGTTTCTGAACTGGTAACTTATTTTCTTATTGTAAATAAATCACTTCATAAGTAAATCATTGTAGTGATTTACTAATGAAATGATTAACAAGTCTGTAGGATTTATTGTCCCAGTATTTTATAATACTGTTATTTTATTGACACTTATCGTGAATCATAATCTCTCTTTCCATAAAGATCAGAGTACTGTCTTTGTTCTGAGAGGAAAACAACCTGCTGAATACTATCAATCAATCAGTCAATCAGTCAATCAAATTTAATTATACAGCACATTTCAACAACAAGGGAGTTCAAAGGGCTTCACATCATAAAACATGTCATAGAAAACACAGGCAATAATTGAAGCATAACATTTTGTCTTGTGGCAGCATTAAACTTCAGCATGTTTCATTTATGTTTCATTTATGTTTCAAAAGCAGCTGCTAAATCCATTTCAGACTCTGAAGAATATAGAGAGGAGAGTACAACCATGTCAAGATGGAGGGAGAAAACGAGGACAGAACCAGTTTTTAGATATTAAAAGCTGAAGGATCTGAGTTGGTCACATCTCACAAAATGAGGGTTTGAGCTTTTGATCTAAATTTAAAGATATGGCCTCATACAGCTGTGTTGATATTCTTTACATTGTTTTAGATAGTTTTTTTTTAAGTATGAATACCTAAAAGTAAAATACTTTTAAAAAATGTGTTTAGATATTAATTGTTTACTTCTGTCTTCCACATTTACATTTTACTCCAGAATTACGAGCGACTTTCAAGTCCAAGGATTTTATTTTATCATGGATATTCCATTCTTATTTATGAACTAAATAACCGGAACTAAATAAATAAATAAATTGAATGTATTATTTTGTCTCCTGAAACTGTACATTCTCTATATTATTCTGGAAGACATAGGAAACATGGACCTGCTATCGGCATGTTTTGTTATCATTACTGTGTTAACAAGATATTACACATTTAGTTCTTAAAGAAATAGAACAGAGTTCATTGATCAAACTTTTTATGGCACCAAAAAAAAAAAAAACATTAAGACAACGCAAAGCAGAAAATAATATAGATTTTTTTGACACAAGGGAAATGCAGAATAACACACTTTGATGTGAATTTAACATGAACTAAATTGTAATGAATACTTAGGAGATCATAGAAGACATGACCTGTAAGAAGTTTGTTATTAGGGTAGTTTTGAGCTTAATCTTTGACTCTCATACTGAAAGATTTATAACAGGAAATGTTCTTGGATTTAGATATCAAGGCCAAAGTTCTTGTACTAATGCTGTTAAATATTAACTTTTCTCTTTGGAATAAATCTGGTGACAGAGTTCAGTCATCAGTCAGAAGACTTTCATACAGATCTCCTCCTTTTTCATAGATTTCTACTTTTCAGGCGTCTATGACTGTGTTTTTGCAAGAAGAAAAAAATACTGAAGCAAGATGTCTAGTATGAAGTAACACAACTCTAATACAACTCTACTGAAAAGTGAGGAGCTCTAAAACAAAATGTCTGCAGAAGAGGATGGGATCATGTCAGGTGGGAGGTAAGTGAAGCTTTTTTGTTTTAAGTCTTTTCTGAAAAAGGTCCTCAAAAGAAAAGTAATAAGTAATTGTTAAACTGATCATTATTATTAAGGATTTTCAAAAATTACATCTTAAAACTTAAAGATTGTTTTATTGAAAGACTAATTAGCAAAGCAATTCCGTTCTCTGAATCTGCAAACTTTGTTTCCATGTGCAAACTACTTTTAAGCAAAACTACTTGCTTAAAAGTAGTTTTATATTACACATAAATTTAGTAGTGTTAATGTGGCATGTTTGGAAAATTCCCCACAAATTCTATGGTTTGTTTGAAGACACTGTGTGACATTAGTCCAAAAGACTTAATTTAATTTATTCAACCTTCTTGTAAAGATTTGCAAAAACAAATGTACAGATTGAAGAATAGATAGTAATACAAATTTAAGTTAATGAATAATATGTGGTTTTTGTTTAATTCTGTCCAAACGGCTTTTTTTGAAAGAAAAATCTTTTATTCTGAACTTTACTTTCTCAGCTGTTTTTGTTTTATTGTTGGTTTTATTGAACACGGCCCAATTTACTTATGGCTGTAATTTTCAGACTGAGGACGACTAACAAACGCTCACAGATCACCTAATTTGAAAATACCCTGACAATAGCACAACATGTCAATATATACAACCTGAAACAAAAATATTAGTCTCTTAATATCCTTATTATTGTTCTCTTTGTTTATCCTAATGATAAAGTTGAAGCTATTTAGAAAATGAGAAAAGCCACGACAAAAGCAAGTTGACATTTGAGTCAACAAATGTTGATTCTGAAAGAGTGAATACTTGGTTTTCCAATGATCTCAAATACATGGAAATAAAAAAAAGGTGTTGTTCTTCACTACCAAGTGTTGTGTGCCTTAATAACATTTAGGGTCTTTGTAATTTGCAAGCACAATAAAAGAAAAACAGACATTAATTGCTTTTGCAGAAATCAAAAATCCTTTTCCGCTCAGTTAAATATTAAAATTATCCACTCTATCATTAATTTATTTGTTGTATTTAATTACATTAATTCAATAATTTTTAATTAGATAAAATAATAATAGCATTTCACGGGTGAGCAAAGCATTATATTTGTTAAAGCTTGTCATATAAAATACATTTTGCTGTTTGTCTTGTAGCTTACCTCAGCACCAAACTCCAATCTCTTCTTCAGTGAGTTTAAAAAGTGACAGATCTAAGGATGAACCTGTAAGCTTTGACACTGAAGATAAACGGTAAGACACTTTGGCAATATTCATGTATTTTTTAGTAAAACACAATAAAAAGCAGCAAAATATACAATAGTTATGATGATATACACTCAGAAAAATTTGACCAATGGTTACTCAAAAAAATTGAGGCAACAAAGTGACACGTAATATAATTGAGTAGATTTTATGTTCTACAATAATGAGTAAAAAGTATTGAATATTTTAACTTAACTTAACTTAAAAAAATCAAGTACATGTTAATAAAAGCAACAGCTGAAAAGTGTTGGATTTAGTAATATCAAGCCAAATGATAAGTTATATTGACAAAAAATATTTAGTAAATCCAACTCAATTTTACAAGGAAAAATTATTTCTATTTACTAAGTTTCTGAGAAAAGATTATTTAGATTTACGAAATATCTGTGGGAAATTGATTCATATTTACTGATAATCTAGGTGAAATTAATTTATATTTATTAATTAAATGGCTGAAATTGATTTAGATTTACTAAAGATCAGCATAAAAATTTATTTGGATTAAGTAAATAATATAAATGATATCAACTCATATTTTAGCACATTATTGCTTAATTCAACACATTAACACTGTTGTTCTTAGACATCTGTAGCTAAAATAATTGATAAATTCTAAGTTGTTATTTGTGTCATAGGACTTTAAATCTATTCAATAATATTGAGTGTCACTTTGTTGCCATAATTTTTTTGAGTCTAATTTACACAATATACTGACCAAACTTGAGTGGCATCAAAAACAACAAATTAAACAGCAGCAGCATTTCTTTGTGAAACTTTATAAAACGTAATTATCCAGCACCCAACAAGTGCAAAATTCCAAAATACAACAATAAAACAGAGAAGGGGCAATATACAATATATCAGTATGAAGTCAAAAACATAGTGCCACTCTGCTCAAAGTATAGTTAACATGATTTTTTAGAACAATCACATCAACAACAATCAACTTGGACTCAGTTAAGCTTGCTTCAACAATTTATCAATCACATAAACATAGTTAACTTTATGTTTAAGAGGCATGCAGAGCACAACACAAGTATAAATCTTACCTGGGGAAAACACGACAAGATGTGAGAGATGGGCAAGACTTTTGAGGCATAAAAACGTCCATTTTCTTATTTTGCATGTTTATGCTACATCTTGTCACTGTGTTGGGGCCCTTGGCTCCGTGACACTTACTTTCCTTTTCGAAAAATAAGTTGAAAGACAGAACTGAACAAAAACATATTATATAAAGTGCAAATGAAACACAACAGCGTTTTGCAGCCTGCAGATCATCACCCTTCAGTGGTGAAGCCTGCATGGACTCTCCAAAAAGGCAATAGTGGATTCTCTATGCTGTATAAAAGGGACAAGGGTTCATGTGACAGACCTGAACAGATCCAAAGCCATATAACAGGCCGCACTACCACATATGAGAACAAGGGGTTAGTCCTTAGAAAGGGTAGTTAACTGTAATGTACTGCAAGAAAAAATACACATGCAAAATCCACTGAACTGAAAATTACCCAAATTTTAACTAACTTCACAGAGCATGTCACAAAGTTTTGTGTGTTGGTTTTGACAGTGACTTGCCTATTCCCTTTTGTTTAGTAAGGGTTCGTTTTCTTAAGCCAGTAGTTTATTCCTGAGGCTGTTCACTTTTGTGGAGAGCTTTGAACTATACAGTCCGAGGAGAAGTTTCTGAAACACTTCAACGTGTGTATCTGAGCTTCTTTGGATAGGCAAGATTCACAGCATATGCCAACCCAACAAGCAGGGAGCAAGCCCTTGGAAAGTTACCCAGAGCAGTTAGAATTTTCACGCCGTCCACCACGATACCGATGTCTGGATCCTCTGACGTCTTAGCTTTGATGTTGTAGATCTTCAGGCTTTGAACAGCAAGGTCCTGTGACACACTGTCTTCATCAGCATCCTGTAATAGCAAGAACATTGTGCATATTAGACAGTACAGCCAAAGGAGAAGGTTCCATTTCCCAAATTGCTTACAACTGTTTGGACAAGAAAATCTGGAGTTTGTCAGCCGTTGCTAGTAATGCACTCTATTTATGTCAGTGTTTTAGACAAATATGAGATAACATTATCTCATATTTTAAATTAAAAATGAATTTAAAAATTAAAAAAGACAAATATAAATCAATCATAATAAAATATTATATTATAATATAATCAATTATACAATGATGAGCTGAACAGTTATAAATATTTCTAAATGAAGTTTCTGAAATTAAATCAATCCATTACACTATTATTTCTTCCTGACACTGTCTTGATTAATATCTTATTCTGCATTGCCTCAGTCTTTCTGTAAAAATGTCTTTGTATTCACAAAGCTGCGCCTTGGCCATAATTTCTTAGCTCGCTTTTAGGGACAAATTGCAAAGACTTAAAAAAAAATCAAGTTATGGTTAGGTAAAGCATTCTTATGAAAAAAATTAAATAAATTACTGCCAAGTTTTAAATTATGCCAGTTGGTAAAATGAAATTGAGATAGCATTCTGCACTAGCACTTAAAAATTTCTTAATGGAAAATAAAAATTAAAACACACTTAACAGAGGACAATGATAGCTTACCAAGAACTACTGGGAGAAATAAAGTTATGACTATTTTGTAATTTGACTTTCCAACGAATACCAATTAGAAGAGTTGAGATAAATCACCTACTTTATATTTTAACATCTACTTAAACTTACATCGTACTCTTTTAAGAGTTGATCTGTAGATTCCCCAAGGTACATCATCAAACATCGAATGATAACGTCTCTGGTCATGTTGATGTCAGGATTGCTTGGAGTCTGAAACAAAAAAAATAAACACCAGGTGATTTATATTACTGTTAATAAGCTCAAGGATCCTTCCTGTGCCATCTTGGGGACCAGTGTAATAAAACACTACTGAAACAAATTCTCATGCGATTATTTCATATTCCATTTATAAAGAGAATCACAGGCTAACCTCCAGTAAATTTAAGTAATGATATTCCAGAAGTTTAAAAACAAAATTTTGAGAATGAAAGATTAGCAACCATAATGCTCAATGAAAGATACCTTGAGTAGGATAGCCTGCAACCTCAACCCCATGGTTCCGCCCTTGGAGTGGAAGAGGTTCAGAAGTCGAGGAGTATATTCATCCAGTTTGGACATGAACTTTGATTCAAGATGCACCATTGTGATTCTGTGAAACTCATCCTGGATCTGAAAGACAAATCATGAAACCAGTTTTAAAGCCTCAAATATTACAAACATACATACTGTTCTTACAACATTTTTCAAAAGCAAGAAGATGGATCAAATTTGATCTATAAAATAGCTGACAGTAACGTAACACATTTTGTATCAAATAGCTAAATGCTACATCACAAATGCAATCCTTCACATTGACTAGGAATATTTCTGATTAGCATACACTTATAACTCATGTGAGACAGCTCAAATAGAGTGGGCCATCTGGCTTTGATGTCCTCTATACTGGGTGATTGGTTGATGATTTCGTTTCTTCTGTGTGCAAAAGTTTTGGCCATTTTTTTCTTTTATCAATGTGTTGTTGTCCTTTTTTTTACTTCAGTAAGCAACTGAATCCTCTCTTGTTCTTGACTTTCTTCATCCTCTCCAGCCGGGTAAGAAGGGAGGAAGTTTACCTCTGCTTTTCAAGGTTTTTTTACATTCTTTGCAGACTTCTTGTCCGCAGGGTTCTTGCGTTTTAGTGCATTGCATAACACCTCAGGAACACCGTAGCCTCTGAGTTTGGTGCGATAATTTGACATCTTGTATTTAAGGCTTTGCTGCCAGCCATAGTAACCTGCAAAGGAACCGGGTTCCTTGAGACAAGGATATTTGTTGACAAGTGCCTCAGCAACATCACTTATCTGTGAACCTGATGGATAGGCTGTATAAGTATATACAGTTTCAGCCAGTTTCTCAAGTATGTCTGGCTTGATCTTCGAGGTAGTGAGAAGTGTTCCATTCTTCTTGTAGTCCTCATTGCCTCTTTCAAGGTACATCTCAGTTTCGTATGCAAACTGTGGAATGGGGAACTGCTTTGGCCATGACTGACAGCGTTCTGTGGTACTGCGCCCAGACAGGATAATGGTGTCCTGTGAAGAAGATGTTCCAGCAGTTGACTCTGCATTTGACTCTTCAAACGATGCAGAGTCACAGTCAGTGGAATGTTGAACAAAGGAACTGTCCAAACTTTCATTAGCTGCATACAAGTTCAGAAGAATAGGAGAAGTGTGAACAACCTTTATGGTGCCCTTGTGTTTGATAAGGTCATTGTTGTGAAGAGTAAAATAATCTTCAAATTCCACATCAAAATACTGAAGACTGAACTCAGTAGAAATCCCAAAGGTGTCCTTCACAATATTATGCAGCTCCTCCACAGTGGGCGGGATGCCTGATGGAAGGTCCAACTTCTCAATTCGGTCGTCAATTATTACTCTGAGTTTTGCCTCCATCTCTGCCATCCAGACAAGAATAGACAAAAGTTAAATATATTGTTATACAGTACATGAAAAAAACCTGTATAAAAAAATTCATAAATAAAATTTGTACTTATTTAAGTGGAACACCACACTTATAATCATAACATTAAATGTGTGTGCCATAATTATGATTATTAAATTGCTATAATGTCAACAAAAAAGGATACTGTTGTTATATTTCCAGAACAATGATTTTTAAAACAGATGTTATGAGATGTAAAGGTTAACATAATTTATCAAAATTACCTAAAACAAACAACAGATGTGACGTTTGAGTGTGACCAAGCGTTTTCCTCCCACGCTGTATGCAGCCAAGGGGTACACATCACCAAGTTTCTGCTGCTCAACAAGAGCCATCTTGCCAGTGTTCTCTAGTTGAAAAGATCTAAGATGCTCTTCATACCATGCATGTAGTAACTTTACAATAAAATGTGCACGGCTGTTTAAAATGGCTATCTGAATAATCTCAGCAAAGTCAGGAAGTCCTCCAGTAGAGCCATACGGCAAGATCATCCCAACAGTGTACTTTGTTCCATAGCAAGTGACAGTGTTAGCAAACTGCACGGAAGACAGAAGCGGTGATGTTTCTCTTAAAGCTTCCTGTATGTCTGAATGCAGCACATCTAAAGGCATCACAGATATTTTTGTGACACACAATGGCTGTTTTCCAACATCAGTATGTAAATGGCATGCCATCATCATCTGATGTTTTGTAGCAAGGGTCACCAATATATTTTTGAAGTTCTTTGTGTGCCTCACAACTTGCTTGAAAAAGCTGTGTTTCGCTTCAAAGCGCATTGTCCATACACCAACCAGAGGCCCATACTCTGCAATCAGTGCAGGGTAATGTTCTAAGTAATGGTGTTTGGGTGTCAGTGTCTCTTCAGGAAAAACTGCTAAGAATCTGTCACGATGCTCAGATATTTTAAAGTCAAGGTATGCAATAGTTTCAACTGTATGAACAGGGGCAACCACCAATTCAACAATATCTTTTAAAGTCAGAAGAACCTGCCAGGCAGCATCATCCTCAGGTACCCGTGAACCAACAATGAGTGGCAACAACCGTATTAGGGCCCAATTTTCATGGGCATTTCCTCCTATCGTTCTGCGACGAATGTAGTTTTGAGGGACTGCTTGAGGGCTGTTGGCTTTGTCTGAGCCCTTATAGGGAAAACGTGTGATTAACTCGTTGAGTTCAGTCAAATTAAAGTACTTCTTCTTGGTGAAAGTCTGAAAACACAATGCTAGTTCTCTTGGGACTATTCCTTCAAAAAGGTCATGTAGTGCATCTGGTGGATACCCAGACACAAAATGAAAGTGATTCAGTTTATCAGTCAATGGACACGACCGCTTAACGCCAAAGCAATGGGTTAAATTTGGATTTTCTCTCACAGTTTGTACATGCAAACTATGGTCCTTCTTTGTCCGAGGTGGAAACACTCCAGTCCGCACTTCGTGTGTCTGGTACTCTGAAGAATGTCCAAGACAAAATCTACAGATGTACGGCCCTGTGAAACTTTCAACTAGTCCGCTAATTGAATGTGCACCGAGATTATCGGCTACAACACAGTGTACAGTTCCTTTTACTCTTTTTCCAACACTGGAAATAAAAATCCCGTCCTGTTCTAGAGTGGCAAGATCTTTCAAGAGGGGTTCCAAAACTGCTTTGTATTCAAACTGTTTGACATCAACAGCTTTGCAAAGTAAAGCTAGGTGTATCGACGTTAATGCAGACTGCAATTGGAAAGGTACATTTGCCAAAATCCAATAAATGGCTGTTATTTTGTGTTTTTTTTTTGAAGTTCCTAGTGGGTTGCACACCTCAAAGTCATCGACATAAAGGATTACAGAGAGTTTTGTCTCTTCTCCAGCATAGAAGGCATTTTGCTTGAAAAGTTTGCCATCAAAAGTTGACTTAATATATCCAGTACTGTTTAAATGTCTGGATGAGATTCCCTCTGCAATGTGTTTATTCTTCAAAACCTTCTGCAAAGTCTCGAGAATAGGGACATATGAAAGGTCTTGTTCTTTTGGGAATCAAGGATATATTCAACAGGATCAACACACTGAAAATGCTCCTTAAAATACCTTCTTCTCTTAAAAGCTGAACCAAGTGGACCACCTACAGCAAATGCTGTACTAATGGGATGGAAGTTGCATAACTGTTCTGCCAAGTCTGTTATGATGGCCTGGTCAACAATGCTCTTATTTAACTTCAATGTTGAATCAAGTATATCTCTAACAACTTCAACAGATGCTGAAGATGAAATGAACTGAAGGTCTTCAACCAAGGCATCAATGCACTTTACAGAGGCATTATAGACACTTTCTAGCTTCAGCAGAAATAAACCAATTCTTTGAAGAACCAAGTATGATGCACTTTCCTTATCACAATCTAAACTTGTGCACTCATTATGACTGGCCTCTAATGAATCAGGATGGTCAACAATCTGATCGTGGTGACTGTCATACACACCTTGCTTAAAACCGCTCAAAGAATAGGATTTGTGTGTTCTACATTTGTGTTTCAGAAATGTATTGTATATATTTGTCCGAAAGCTGCATCCTTCAAATACACAAAAGACAGTTTCGTGGCTCTTTAGGTGATTTCCGATATGCTGAAAGTAGTCCTTTTCTGTAGAAACTAGCACTGCAAACTAAGCACTTAAAAGCAGAGATGATTCCTGGCTGTATAATGACATGAGCTGTATGATACCTGGACAAATGTGTGCGAAGGGCACCCTGTGTTTTAAATGTGCAAGGGCAACTGTCATATAGACATGGCTGGGTTTGCCCACGACCAAATGTTGCGTGTAGTCTGTAATGTTTTAGTAGATTCCCCTTTGTTGCAGACAAAGACTTGCAGATCTTACACTGCCACCCCATAGGCCAGAACCTAAGATAATAAGAAAAGGTGTTTTTAAATTAGTGTATAACTAGTAGCATACATCACTAATAGATCTAGTAATTAAATAATGTGCCAGGGCTGAACAATTAATCAAAATTTTATCAAAATTGCAATACAGCCTACTGCAATTTTCAAATCACAGGAGGTACAACATGTCTTAAATCTTAAAAAAATATTTTAAATGAAATGTTCTACTGCAAAAATGTCCTGGCCTACACATCATAATCTAGAGACTTAAAAAAATAAATACGTTACACATCCCTGCAAGAATCACGCCATAATCATCTTAATTTTCCAATGAAAATAGAGCTCTATAATATACCAACTATGGATGAATACCTCATCCAAACCAACTACAAAAAATGAAGTATCGTTTTAAGATGATAGACAAAACATGAAACAGATTTTTAAGGTAATATGCAGATCAACAAATGCCAAACAATAAATATTAATGTCAAAATGCCCAAAACGGACTAACGAAGCATTTCTCTCAGTCTCTCTGTGGCAGCAGTCAGTACGAAGCTCTACGTACTGATTTCAACCCAACATTCACAGACGCATCTCACTGTGACTGTTTATCTGTCAGTGTGAGCTGCAACCACAGTTTGAAAGCAACGTTTTTCCGAGAAAACAGGAAAAACGAGGAAGCCCATTTGTGCCATCTGAATGTAACTAACGTAACGTTAATGGAGAGCCTCAGTGAGAGCCGGTGAACTTGGGTTTAGCAAAACACCAGCCACTGTGCTCAAATCACAATAACAGACGTTCCATGAAAATAACGCCAAATTAAAAGAAGAAAGATAACTGCGCACTTTGTCTCAAAATGTAAAAATGCAGATTTTTCTTCCGAAATGTGTAACGTTATAAAAACTGATTAGAAATCAGCTTTTAACATGCTACTTGAGTAAAAATGTTACTTGAGTACATTTTAATTGTAAAAACTAAATGCAGTAACTTTAAACGAAACTCTTAACTTGATTACCCTCTCACCGTTGAAAACAACGTCTGTTCCTCCATTATGGAGCCCAAACATGCTAGCTAGCTTGTTGTGTGGGGAGGGGGAGCTTGAGCTGAGGCCAAAAAACTACATTAAATAAAAGAGTAGCTTGTATTCTACGGCCACTATATATCGGTATTACGTTAGTCACATTAAATTGTGACAGAGACTACTTTTTCAATCATTGCGATGTATTTAGTCAAATCAAAGACTTCGAATCCTTCACACTATAACTTTAAAGTTGCCATGTTTGGTCATTTGCAGTAAATTAAGACAATGTTTAACTGCTACAAACACTTGAATTGTTTAACTAAGAACAATTAAAACATGTCTTACCTTTAAGCAAACGGTAGTCCATGAAATGCCAAGCAGGATGGATGTTCAAATGCCTTGGGGCGGGAAAAATAAAGGCCTCCCAATGAGTAAAATTTATCAATTTTCTGCACTTTTGACTTTACCAATGAAAATAAATAAATTCTACTTATTGTTTTTCTGCTGATTTTATTGAAATAAAAACCGAGTAGAATGCAATTAAAATATATTCAAAATTTGGTTAATTCAGCTCAGTGAGATTCAAATTGCACAAAGTCTTTTTTATTATGTATAGTTTGCTCTTATTTATTTAGCAAATATTACTAAACCCTGATCACACTTTTTTCAGTGTAGTTAATTCTGCTCAAAACATAGTTCATAGCTTTTGAGACTTTTGAAAATGATTTTAATCCGCAGAGCATTATGTTTATTGTAAAATACTGTTGCAGTCTGAACTTGTTCTGCTTTGGTATAAATGGTCAAAGACCTTTCCTTGAAGCCATTATTTCCTAATTTAATTAAAATTGATACTCTTGGTAAGTGAATTCTGGTCAAAAGATAGTCAATAGTTTTTTAGACTTTTGAACATTATTTTAATGCAAAGAGCATTTCTGGAAACTCTGCTTTCATCTATCAACTTCAACTTTTTGTATTTTTTGCATTTTCACATAAAATGTTCACTTGATTTTTGTTAATTTCTCATTTGTTAAGCATTTACAGTATAGCTTGCCTACATTATCTGCATTATGAGTCGGATCAAATAATGAACCAGACGTGTGACCGAAAAGTTTCAGACTCAAGTTGTGTGGGCATGTAGCTTCATCAGCAGTGAAATGGAGAAATAACAACATTCTCAGCAATAAGTCAATGATTTCTAATAGTCATAGGTCATAAAAGATGCAGCTTGTATGGCTGCATTGATTATTGAAAGATAGTCATAAAAGATGTTATCTTTTTAGGCCCACAGGTTGCATTGGGCCAAAGTACTGAAAGAGTACTGGGAGTTTTGTCCCTGATATTATTTTTACTGGATTCCTGTTTATGTTCTGCTGAAATTAATTTTATTGCAAAGTGACTCGAGACATTCATTAATTACTGCGACATAAATTGAATCATTACTGATTTGTTTTTTTTTTAAATGTTATTGCAAACAGAAAAACATGATAGATTCATTACTTACAATATTTAAAAATTAGTTTTATGCAAAAGTGTCTCTTTTCTACCCTAAACGGACAATCATCCTAGGGGAAGCAAACCCATAATTTCAAATATTTTTTAAAAATATGTATGAAAGTGTGTCATTTTAGCCCAGATACATCGGAAAATGGAAATGAAATAATTTCCAATTATATACATGAGTCTGCCCATTTAGCGGATAATTTAATAATTTCTAATTAAATATAAATATAACTAATAATTGCTGTAGACAGGCGAGAAGAGCATTATTTATTGCAACATTCTGACTTTATTCTATTAATTCAATCTGGAGAGACTCAGACACAGAAAGAAAGCAATTAGAAAAGTTTATTGACAGCATAAATTAAGTTTTTGGCGCTCAGGCCCCGGCTAAGGACATCGAGCTATGATTGCGATGAGCTCGGATGAGCATTCCCGATGCTGATAGGAATGTCATCCCCCGGGACCCGACCTGTAGGTCGGTGAATGAAGTATGCCTGGAGAGCCAGGACAGTGGAGGTGCAGAAGGGCTGGAGGTGGGTTGAGCGCAGCAGCGAAGCGGAAGACGCCTTGGATGGATGTCCTTATCAACTGGGGCATGGTCGGTGATTGGCCGTGACATGGCTTGGTCCAGTGATGATAGGTCGTCGGTGATTAGCGGGATGCGGCAATTAGATGATGCAGGTTGGACTAAAAGTCTTCCAGTTTGAATTTACGCCTGGGCTTCTTTTTAAGAATGAAACTATTTCAATGGAAAGAGCATTATGTTCATTGGAAAATTACGCAAAGAAATATAAACAGAAACAATGACAAGACATAGTTGAAATAAAAATCAGGTGGATAGTTTTAACTCGAAAGTCATGCTCATAGGAAAACATGCATCAAGCAACATGCACTAATATTTTATTTGAAGATATAATTGCAAGTTATTTCTTATTTTAATGTAAATTGATCTTCTTGGTATGTTTTGCAGAAATAAATTAAAAGATTGAATCATTTTTAGTAATACAGAATAAAGTTACCAAATTTTTTTTTCAATGGTTTTGTTTAATTTTGGTCCATTCTGTTTTTCAAAGGAAAATCTTTCACCCTGAATATTATTTTCTCAGCTGTTTTGGTTTTGTTGTTGATTTTATAAAGCATTGCACTATTTACTTTTGTGGACAGAACTTAAATGCACATCTAAATAGTATTTACATCTGACAAAATCTGTGGGCAATTAAATGATTACAAGTCAGACTGGGATTTAAATTTTTTCTTTGTTCAGCCATTGAAGTGAATCAGCCAAGAAAATTCAGGAAGCTTTTCATGTGCAACGTCATGTTTTGGTCATTTGTATTTTACATAAAATCATTCTATGAAAATCAGGATAATAAAAGTGAAGATCACTGAATAGAAAAATAAATTTTTTTTTTTTGCAAAGAAACCTGAAACTGTGTGAGTCAAAACCAATTAGTAGAAAAATGTATGTAGCTAATCAAATAACAAAAGAACCAAATTATTATTTTTATTGGAAACATGTACTGCAGTGTTTTGGTTTTAGAAACAGGTCTGGCACAAGGATCCAATATTCTCATCAAAGGACATAAAAGAAACTATTTTTTCTTTTGTGTTTAAGTTCACATGATGACAAAGAACCAGAGTCTCCTGGACCAACTGATGTTATTACGTCTTATGATGTGTGAAGGAAAGATATGTCAGCAAAGCATTCACAGACTAAAAGTTAATTTGATACAAAAAACGCTTTGCTGCCAGAAGAAGAACATATTTTATAATGTAAAAAAATGATGCTGAAAAAGTGAGTCCAAGAGGAATGAGATCTATAAACCATGATGTTCTGTAGGAGATGTTAAGATGGATCATTTTCTATTTCTTTATTAGGGAAGATTAATTAACAATCAGTACAAAACTGATGTGAGTCATCACAAAGTTTCTGTTTCTTGCACTGAAAAACTATAAAAGTGTTTGCTTAAACACTAACAGTCTCAATAATACGTATCAGTTATTCAAGTTTTGTGGCAATAAGTTGCTGCAGAGGTGCATAATAGTAAAGAGAATTAAAAAAAAAATTCTTACTTTTCCTCCTGATCTAAAAAGTAAGCCTACTTAACATGTCAAAGTATTTTTATCTAAGTTCCTAAGAGACTTAATACAATACATTCTTGAATTTTTGAAACAATAAATGTCTTGTTTTAAGATCCAATGGCTGATTACTTAAAAGTTAAGTGAGGTTAAAAATACATTTATTTTAATTATGTTTTTTGTGTTTGCTTTGAGTTTGCATTACCTAGTCATATATATTCAAATCAAAATTTTAACATATTTTTTAACACAAAACCACCAGGTTTAGCAAGTTTCTAGATGAAACTCTGCTATATCATCCATAAATTTTATCTTTAGTATACAAAAGACATAGTATAGATGGCTTTCTATAGTATAGCTTGCCTACATTCTCTGCAGTGTGAGTGAGATAAAATAATGTGATACAGAAGTGACTGAAAACTGTCAGATTCAAGTTGTGTGGGCATGTATCTTCATCCACAGTGAAAAGGTGAAGAAACAGCATCCTCAGCAATAAGTTTATCATTTATAATAGTCATAAGGCATTAAACATGCAGCTTTTAAAGATATATAATTTCTTCTTTTTGGAATTTTGCTGTTTTATACAATTGTTATCATTTCAATGCCTAAAACTTATTGATCCAACAAGTTGTTTTACCAGCCGGAAGTACGTGATTGCAATTTCATCTATTGAAAACCATGAATTGATCAAATAAACATGTTCAGTTCAAAAACTGTTTTTGTGAAATTATTGAATAAATAGACATATTAACTCAACGACAATTATATTTAATTGTTTTAATTGGTTGCTTAGGTTATGTTACCTATTCATATTTTTACAAAGTGATATTATATCAGTTTTCAAGTGTTTCAGGAACCTCCTTATCATTCATTTCACTTCTTTGAAAATATACTTCTTTACAAATATGGACTGTCAATGCTGACATTAGCGATGGGATATCTGTGCTTCCTGCAACAGGTTTTGCGTTAAGAAGGTATTTTAGTTTGAATATCTTCATGTTCCAGTCGGAAACTTTGTATGTAAAAAGAAAACAAAACAACAGCAAAAAAACCGATTAATTGCATAAATATTTTAAAATGTATGCAATTAATTGATTAAAATGAATACGATAAAGTCCTGGCCCCCGTGAAAATAAATTACAAATCCACTCTTAACTGAAACATGATCACTAAACTCATGTCCATTTGAATTAATGTAAAACAAAAGAGTTAAATATCTTGTATTTTTCTGCAGTGATTCTAATGACATCCAACCTGGAAATTCTGTTGCAGCTGACAAAGGTGAGCATGACTTAAAAAGAAAAGATGTTTTTAGTTCAACTGTCCATTGACTTTAGAGATTAATACATAGTCTTAATACATACTTATTAGAGATGAGTTATGTGTCAAATTATATTTTTTAATTGTAAAATTTGATTTTACTTGGGGCTTTTTTTTATGTTGTTTCTATTGCCACCAGAAAATAAAATTAATTGCTTCTATGAAGACCAAGTTTTTTTTTTCTCTCCATAAATTATAAAGCCTCAAATCTTGTGAATCTTTAACCAGTATTGGTAAGGTCTTATAATTGCAGCCCCTAATAAAATATAAAAAATACTTGATGTTTCAAGACAAAAATGTCTATGGTGTAAACTAATAATAATTTGCTCAGGTGACACTCAGTGAATCTTATCACTTTTCAGCTTAGTTTAAATTGTTGCCCGTAAGAAATGAGTGTTAGAGCGGATTATTGCTGAAAATATATTCTGAAGAGTGTTGGAAATCATTTGTATCAAATATGTTACGGTTATTCCTGTTGCTCACATAAATTTAATTTAAAATTTAAAGGAGAAGATCCCAAAGGAGCATTTTCAATGACAGAAGAAATTCCTTCCAAGGTCAATCGACAGGAAAGTGAGATAGTGATGTTTGAAAGTGGGAAAAAGAACCTAATCACGCCCAAGAATTTATTTACCAACAATAAATCTCAAACTTCCAAAATTTCTGTGCGAACTGTACTGATGAAAGGAGTTCCTGGTGTTGGTAAAACTTTTCAAACAAAAATGTTCATGAAGGACTGGGAAAACAAAAAATCTAACCAACACATAAAGGCTTTAGTGACCCTTGATTTCCCTGAGCTGAATAGAAAGAAGGATGAAGTAAAAAGCATGGAATCTCTGTTGAATGATTTCTTCAACAACAAAAAAGTTAATGTCTCCAAAGACGACAAGAAAAAGATATGTTTCATTCTTGATGGTCTGGAAAAATGCAAACTTCCTCTTGACTTTGAAAACAACAAAGAAGTTAAAGACTTGAAGGAAGAAGCATCAATGGATGAGCTGCTAACAAATTTGATCAAAGGAAATCTGCTTCCTGAAGCTCATATTTGGATAATTTCTCAACCAAAAGGAGTTAAGATTCCTTCTGAATATATTGACAGAACAGTTCTCTGTCAAGGTAAGAATATCCATCTAAATTAAACTTGGCTTGTACACAAAATGATCATTTTTGTTGACTTTATTCTAGACTTATATTAAATTTTTATGACTTAAATCAATTAAAAGTAATAAAATAATCCTGTTGCTGCAAATTGTAAAATAAAGAAGAATTATCATGGAAAAGCAAACAGCTTTTACACCAAGTTATTTTCTCCCTTATATTAAATTGGTAAAGCCTCATAAATATTTTTATACCTGGGTTGTTTGGGCAGCTCATCATTGACCCACTTTGTTTTTGTATTAAAAAATGTTAAAGGTTGACAGAAAATTTGAAAACATGTGAAATTGGAAGACATTATTGCTAATACTTGAGCACCAGCTAAAAAAGGCTAACAAAAAATGCAATTAAATATGTTCTTTGCAGTTAATTACTAATTAAGTAATTTGCCATCATATTTACAAAACATACATTATGCTGATCTAGCAAAAAGTAAAGAAAAGGAAAATAAATGTTTTTGTAAAATTGACAATGATAAAAATAATTTGTATTTCTAACTAAATATTCTTAGGGTACAAAATGTATCTATTTACTGTAAATTTTACTGTGTTATGGAATTTTCTTTACTCCAACCATTTTGCATAATAATGTCTTGAGCTATCTGCATTTTACTGGTTGTGATTGGTTTTTATACTGCATAGAATTTTATGTCGTACTTTTTGCCCATTTAGTATGTTATTATTGATTCTCTTAATATAGTTTAGATTTTTACATATAAGCAACTCTACATGTTTTGAGTGTTTTGCCACTTTGCTGCTGTTACTCTGAAATGTTTCCAATGTGGGACAATGAAAGATATTTCTATTCTATTTTATCAAGTTACACTCACACATACAGAATCAAGGACATGCCAGAACAAAGTGGAGCTAACATGTATCAGATGTAAATGCACATGCTGCTTATTGTTCGTTCACAAACATATTTGCAATCACATAAGCCTCACTGTGGGCTCAGTGTGAACCTCTAAAAGATTAACTTTATCTCACCTTTAATGCAGTCGCTCTTAGAGATTTGAATTGAGTGTATTTGAGCCGAGCAAGCAGTGGGTTTTAATACCTGGTGCATATGTTGCTGCAGTTTCTCCAAAAAGATAGCCTTCCTATAACAATCACTAACATGCTGGTAGAGGTAAACCAGCTCTGCAAGAGCACTTTCCAAATACACCATTTTGAGTGAAATACGTTGTGCACAATCCACAGCGAGTTAGAGAAATTTGGAGGTGCACAATAAATATTATTTTACTGGCAATAGTTCAGTGCATCTTATTGTTATTTAGCTGAGTTTAAATTGTTTCTGGAAGAAATGCAGATTTTTTATGCAATATTTCTGAAGGTGGTGTTTTTAACACTGCTTAAAATATCAAGTTATTGTTATTCTTGTTATTCACATATCATATTTTTTCAATAATAGGAGATGACAAGAAAGACAAATACCTGAAGGAAGTCATTCTTGAGGAGTGGGTCAACAGGAAAGTGACCCAAAACTCTCTGAGATAGTGATGTTTGAAAGTGGGAAAAAGAACCTAATCATGCTCAAAGATTTATTTACCAACAATAAATCTTTGATTTCCAAAATTCCTGGTATGTCCAAAAATGTGCGAACTGTACTGATGAAAGGAGTTCCTGGTGTTGGTAAAACATTCCAAACAAAAATGTTCATGATTGACTGGGCAAAAGAAAACTCCAACAAACACATAAAAGCTTTAGTGACCTTTGATTTCACTGAGTTGAATTCAATGAAGGATGAAGTAAAAAACATGAAATCTCTGCTGAATGATTTCTTCAGAAAGAAAAATGCTGTTTTCAAAGATGAGAAGAAAAAGATATGTTTCATTCTTGATGGTCTGGAAAAATGCAAATTTCCTCTTGACTTTGTAAACAACAAAGAAGTTAAAGACTTGAAGGAAGAAACATCAATGGATGAGCTGCTAACGAATCTGATCAAAGGAAATCTGCTTCCTGAAGCTCATATTTGGATAATTTCTCAACCAAAAGGAGTTGATAAGATTCCTCCTGAATATATCAACAGAACTGTTCTCTGTCAAGGTAAGAATATTTATCTAAATCAATTACACTTAATTTTGCTTCTATCCATTTTTGTTTATTTTCTTTAAGACTTATATGATTTTACCTTGTTGTACAACTTTGTTTTGTCTGATTAGAAACATATGAACAACAGAAGAAATTGGAGTCACGTCTGAGAAATAGATTTCTGGAAGAAATCACTGATGAAAAAGATGAAACCAGTCATCCAAACCAGAAAACAACAGAACATATCATCAGAAGAGAAAATGGCTCTGAAGAAAGAGAAAGTAAACAAAACAATCTTACAAAAGTGAATCAACTTTCTGAGATCTTCAAAGATGTGAAAGGAAAGAAAACTAGAACAGTGATGACCATTGGAGAAGCTTTCACAGGCAAATCTTTTCATATGAAAAAAATTATAAGAGAATGGTCTAAAATGGAAAATGAGAAAAGGTCATTTTTCACCTGGATCACAAGTCAATTCTCTAGCCAGGCAAAACCTGCAGAACTTTTGTTTCTTATTAACTTCTCAATACTCAACTCGATAAAAATGAATATCAGTTTCTTTGAGCTTCTTAATCACTTCTACAAGGAGACCAAAGATATCATCATCTCTGACTATTGCCAGTTAAATATTTTATTTCTCTTGGATGGACTTGATGAATACCAACATTGTTTAGACTTTGAAAACAATGAAATCTTGACTGATGTCAGAGAACAAACATCAGTCAATGTGTTACTAACAAACCTTATCAGAGGAAACCTGCTGCCAGAGGCCCAGATCTGGATAACGTCTCAGCCTCCAGCTGATGAGAAAATCCCTGATGGTTTCATTGACAGACTGACAGAAATACGAGGTAAGATCTGCTGATGCAAATTTCACACAATTAGATTGAACTTTAATGTATTTTCTGACATTTAAAACTGTTCCAGGTACCAGGATGTAAAATAAACTGATACTTAAGTTTCATTTATTAAAAATAGAGCAAGTTGATAAAAACAAACACAAAAAACAAATTTAAAAAGCACAAAATCCACTCTAAGTCTGACAGTTTAAAGAAACAATGATTAAAACTATCTCCACAAAATAGTAAAATCAGATTAAAAAAATATAATTCTAAAATAAACTTATGTACTCCACAAAAAGCCATTGCTAACAATTGTTTTTTTTCTCAGCTTCATTTGTCATATGATCTTGAGACAATATTATTTTCCGCTGCTCATTAAGTCCTTCCAAAGATGGATTCATTAATTTGTAAACAGTGCATTGCAGTGCGATATCTGTGTATTTCTTCTTTTCATTTTTTTGCTTTGATATGGTGGACCTGTAGTGAAAACCACATCAACAAATCATTCAATAAATCACTAAATACAAATAAAAATTGAAAGACCATAACATATTCATTCACAAATACTCATGAATAATTTTGTATTGCAAAGGTGATACAAAATTAGGTGTTGATAATAAGTCATTTTCAACACCTATTTCTAAGCTCAGCTGAAGCAAAAACCTTAAATTATTTCTTCAAGGTTGGAGGCTGAAAGGCAGAGCTGTTCCTTCATGCAGAAGTCGACGTTGCTTTACTAGTCGAATGTTATGACACACTTCTCATACAGTTATATTGAGTTACAATCCATTTCCAGATGTTTATTGGTCCACACATGACGCATTCACTCTTTGCATATCAGGTACTCAGTCATTCTTGGTGCATTCACTGACCATCTGCACCATAAAATATTTAAGCAGTGTTTATGAAACTCATATTTTTAATTCAACCCATGACAGCAAGAACTTGCTTTGACAAAAATCTATTTTCCCACATATATTTTGAGTGATCTACAGCAACATCTGTAGTTTTAAGTTTAAATCTACAGTGTGGTTGGATTTTCAGCATTAACATTACATAAATACCCTATAAACAGAAAATTGCACAAGTTTAGTTTTAGTTTTTCATTTGTCACACTGGAACTGGCCAATGTTTGCGATTAGTAATCTTTTATTGTGTGTGTTTTAGTCTTTGTCAAAAGAATATATAAAATTGTTTCAAAAGTATTTAATCTATATTTTTTGTTTATCTACATTGTATTTTTTCAGAGAAGCCTGATATCACAAGTCAAAGAAAACTCAAAAGTCAACTAAAAGATCAATTCACCAGTGTGTCTGAAGGGATTGATGGACAGAAGACCTCAGCTCTTCTCAAAGAGGTTTTCACTGACCTCTACATCACAGAAGGAGAGCGTGCTCAGAATGAAGCCATGCAGATTCAGGATGCAAATTTCAAGACGACAAATGAAGAAACATCTATTAAATACTGTAACATCTTCAAACCTGCAAATAGTGATCAAAACATTAAGACTGTGCTCACCGTTGGAGTGGCAGGAATAGGAAAAACATTTGCCTCAATGAAGTACATACTTGACTGCGCAGAGAGCAAAGTGACAGAAAACATTTTTTTCATTTTTCCACTTCCATTCCGAGAGCTAAATCTGAGAGCAGATAAAGAATGCAGTCTAGAAGATCTGATTCATCAGTTCTTCCCAGCAATGAGGACTTCTGAAATAACTGATTATGACAAATACAAGATTCTGATTGTTCTGGATGGTTTTGATGAATGTCGTCTTGATCTTGAGTTCAATGAAACAAATAAATTGCGTGATGTCACAACATCAACCTCGATAAATCGTCTGTTGTCAAATCTTATACTGGGAAATTTGCTCCCTAAAGCTCAAATCTGGATCACTTCTCAACCTGCAGCATCCAACAACATTCCTCCAGAAAAAGTTGATCGAATGACAGAAGTGAGAGGATTTAATGATGAGCAAAAGGAAAAATATTTCATGAAACGATTCAGTGATGAGAAGGTGGCTGAAAAAATCTTGTCATATGTGAAGAAATCAAGAATTCTTTACATAATGTGTCACATTCCTATTTTCTGTTTCATCACATCAAAGGTTTTGGAGGACTTTGTTGAAAGAAACAAAAATGATGGACTGACAAGAAACAAAGTTTATAGACTGCCAAGAAACAAAAATGATAGACTGCCAAGAAATCAAGATGATGGACTGCCAAAAACTCTGACTGACATGTACACACATTTCCTTTTGCTTCAGCGCAGACAAACAAAAGCAAAATACAACACAGATCAGTCAACCTCTGAAACCTCTGGAACAGAAACATCTTGTGATAAAACTAATGATGAAACAATCATGTCTTTGGGGAAACTTGCTTTCAAAGGGCTGAAGGAGAAAAACCTTCTCTTTAGTGAGGAAGACTTGACCAGTTGTGGGACTGATGTAACCAAAGCTGCTGTTTTCTCTGGGTTGTTAACTCAGATCAAAAGAGAAAATCACGAGCTTTACCCTCAGAAGCTGTTTTGCTTTGTCCATAAAAGCATTCAAGAGTACATGGCAGCTCTCCATGTCTTCCACTCATTTAATAGCAAAGGGGAAAATGTGTTCATAGAACCAACTTCAGCATCCTCAGACCCAATTGCCTCAGAGTTTTATAAGAATGCAGTGGACATGGCTTTTGAGAATGAACATGGGGACTGGGACATGTTCCTTCGCTTCCTACTGGGTCTCTCTGTGGAATCTAATCAGGATTTACTTCAAGATCTGATTGATAAGAGTGAAAAACACAAAGATGCTAGTAAGGAAGCAGCAGAGTACATCAAGAAGAAGATCAAAGAGAACAGTGACCCAGAGAAAAACCTTAATCTTTTCTACTGTCTTGATGAGCTGAATGACCACAGCCTTGTTCAGGAAATCCAAAATTATCTTAAATCAGAAGAAAAACCTTTTGAAACTTTCACTGCTTCTCAGTGGTCAGCTTTAATCTTTGTGCTGCTGACATCAGATCAAAACCTTGACGTGTTTGATCTTAAGAAATACCTGAAATCAGAGAAAGTTCTTCTGGGATTGATGCCAGTGGTCAAAGTCTCAAACACTACTTTGTAAGTATTTTTATAAAACAGCTACTTTTACATTTATTATCATTTACTTTTAAGGCTATCATAAATTAATGTCTTCATACAAATGCCATACTTCCATCAGTTTGAACATTGATGAAACAAACTCACTCAATCATAATCTTCACCTCAACAAGAGAAAGCTGCAAAATATTATTGTAAAAATACTCTAAGTTGCTTCCAAGTAGTGTTTACTATAGTTTACTAGTTCAAAACAATACTTCATGTTACTTTTGTCATGAATTGTGGTGGTGGAGATGGTGAGGCAGACGCTGGAGGCCCAGGTAAGATGAGTGATGTAGATTTATTAACCAAAACAACAGTCGATAAGTCTGCAGCCAGGCAGCACACCGGTAGCAACTGGTCTAACAGGCGGCTCAAAACAAACGACAAACTACGACAAACGACAACTTATGACAAGGACCCGACGAGGAACAAAGGACACAGGAGGGACAAAATACACTGAGGGTAATCAAGGGAACAAGACACACCTGGGAACAATCAAGGGGAAGACAGGACAACGAGAAGAACACAGGACACAGAAAACTCAAATAAACACAACAGAAACACGTGGAACATGACAACTTTCTTCATTGTGATAAAAATATTAGTATTACACATGAGAGTTGGCTTTTCGCCTTTATCTAGTTTGACAACAAAGACATTATTGTCTTTTACTGTTGTTTAAAGCAAGACTTTTACTTTGTTCCTTCACTGTGATCCTTTGTTATTTTAGAAGAAAATCACACATGGGTTTGTCAATTTAACTTGTTTGTTTTCATGGATCTTTCTACAGACTGAGTTGGTGTGAGCTCTCTGAAGAATCTTGTGACGGTCTGACATCATCAGTGCTGACCAAACCATCCTCAAACCTCACAGTGCTGGACATGAGTCATAATGATTTACTGGATGCTGGAGTGATGCGACTTGCTGATGGGTTGAAACATATGAACTGTAAACTAGAGACTCTCAAGTAGGTTTTTATTCATGAAAGTAATATATTAACCAGTGTTACAGTTAGAAACTGTTTTGAGTTTATAAATTGGTTTGTCCCAAGACTTAAGGTTATTCTATGTGTTCGCAATTCTTGTTAGTGTTAAGTGTCAAGAAAATACAACAGTCCTATGAAAGTGGTACTGAGAATGATAAAACTAAAGTTTAGAGACAAACAGCCCATGTATAAATTAAATAATTTGAAAGTTTTCCTTTAAGGGTGACAGTGGCTCAACCTACCAGTTCCTATTCTGGAACCAGTAGGTTTCCAGTTTGAACACCATTGTGTTGTGGTTGTGGTAAAGACACGTCACCTGACTTTCCTTTTGCTGGTCAGAGGGCCTGATGGTTCATGACAGCTTCTCCTCTGTCAGACAGTTTCAGGGAAGCTGTGGCTATAATCTAGTATCTCGCTACCACTGGAGTGGAATGTGTGTGTGAATGATCAAATGTGGTATGAAACACTTTGGGATCCTATGAAACTGATATAATGCTCGGCAAGTTCAGGCCTTTACCATTTAAACCATAATTGAGTTTTACACCCAATTATATTCAAAGATTATTCAATGTCATGTTAGAAGCAATGTATGAGAAAATAATGGATTTATTGTTATCAAAAATAAGCTGCAATATATTCTAATGTCTTAAGACACCATATTTTGGACTCTCATAATTTGTAGGCCATAACCTTCAAAATTACAAAGAATTATTTCTATTCTTTGCAATTAATCTATATATCATACATACAGTATAAAATACTGGACTTTTATATCACAGTCAAATTTTGCTGAGCTCTATTTCTAATCCAAAATTGTGTCTTTGTGCAGGTTGGCAGGATGTCAGGTGACAGAGAAAGGCTGCATTTCTCTGGCTGAAGCTATTGAGTCCCATCAAAACTCATCTCTTAAACACTTGGACCTGAGTTACAATCATCCTGGAGACAATGGCATGAGGGCTCTCAATGCAATAGTTGAGGATCCAAGCAAGAAACTTGAGACAGTGAAGTGAGTAAATAAATCTGACATTACTTAGTACTATTATTAGAAAACTAGCTTAATTTAATGATGCACCATGTCTGAGTAGAGCCTTTGTAACAGCCAACATTTATTATTGGCTGAATAATAAATGTTATAGTCAAAGAGCTGGAATTAAACTTAATACACACAGTGTGTGGTGAATAAGATAAAAGCTTTCATAACTTGAAAAAGTAGGAATGAACTATTATCTAAAGACTTTCTGATTTTTTTCCAAAATAAAATGAATCTTTCTTGTCTTACTGTGCACAGCTTCAACCATGGAGGACAATGTCGACTAAAACCTGGTTGGAGGAAATGTGAGCTGTTTTTTCCCCTCAACAGTTTTACATTTTTGTATTACAAGATAAAACATGTTTATCTGAAAATGAAAGTTAGAACTTTATCATCACAAGGGTATTTAACAGGGTATAAAGATAAATTATGACTTTATATATAAGGAAATCACAAAATACTGTAAGACTCATAATTCTCCAAATTTAACAGATTTAATATTTAAATTTATGGATTCATTATTCACATTCTGAAACTGTCAATGCTTAAAGTTCCACAAAGCTTACTTAATTTTCTTCTTGAACACTTTCAGATGGTGTAAATCTTATGTTCGATAAGAACTCAGCAAACAGACGGATTGTTCTGAATGAAAACAACAAAAAAGCGAAAACTAATAATGATGTCAAGAAGTTGGAAATGCGAAATACAAGTGATGAACGATTCAGGAGGACCCAGGTATTTTGTGATAAAGGCCTGAAACGACTTTGTTACTGGGAAGTGGAATGGAAAGGCGTGGTGGGAATTGCTGTGGCATATAAAGATGTGGGTAGAAGCTGGAACCGTGATGGTGGTCTGGGAAGCAATGACAAGTCCTGGAGTTTGCTCTGCTCCGAGACCAAGACTGCGACCAAGACCAAGACCGAGACCAAGACCGACACCAAGACCAAAACCGAGACCAAGAGCAAGACCGAGACCAAGACCAAGACCGAGACCAAGACCAAGACCAAGACGGAGAACGAGACCAAGACGGAGAGCGAGAACAAAACCGAGACCAAGACCGCGACCAAGATGGAGACCAAAATCAAGAACGAGAACAAGACTGGATACAAAGCCTTGCATAAAAACAGAAAAAAAGAAATCAAAGTCCCTACATGCAACAAAATAGGTGTGTTTCTTGACTGGGAGGGAGGAACTCTAAGTTACTACAATATAACGTCAGAAGAGCGAAGCTTGATTCATACATTCAAAGCAAAATTCACAGCAGAGCTATTTCCAGCCTTCTGGTTTGAGAAAGGTTCTGTGACTTTGTGTGACCTGTAGATTTATGAGTGCACAAGTTAAAAAGGCTGTAAGCACTTAGAGTGGTATGAAAAGGTATTTGCCCCTTCCTGATTTCATGTTTTTGTTGCATATTTGTTAAACTTCAATATTTCAGAACATTAAACAATTTACATATTAGTCAAAGACAACACAATTAGACACAAAATGGAGTTTATAAATGAATGTGTTTATTATTATGAGAGGAAAAATTCCAGTGGTTTTCTTCTTGTGGTGTTTTTGCTGGCATATTTTAAATAAGTAATTTTCTAATGGCAGAGGCGTGGCCTCTGACCTTAACTGAGATAGTTTTTTGAATGTTCTTGTGGCGTCTTTTTAAACTTTTTTAGGTACTTTTCAACTAGGTCGCCTCTAATCAATACAGTATCAGATTAATTTTCCATCAGCTTTCAGCCTAGCTGTTCTCAGATTTTTATACTTACGTCAGGGGTAGTACTAGCAGCAAGTAGGGTTTGGCACCTAAACAATTTGATTGACAGCTGACCACATTGATTCATTGTCTCGTGAATTATTTCATTGAAAACTCCCAAAACTATTATAGTTTAGCTGTGAACTGCATACATGGTGACTATTATCAGAGAGCTGCTTAGAAAGAAGTGTGTAATTATAACTTTAATCACAAGCATCATCAGGAACTTGCATTAAGTTTTGCAGCAGAATGCATGATTTAGCAGCATATTGCTCTGAAGAACGGTAATTATATTTATATGTATCGCTAAATAATCAGCTGATCAGAGTCTAGCAATTAATTTATATAAGACAAAATTAAATATCTGGGTTTATCTGAGTTAATCAGAACCAGAACCTAGAAGTTCTCCATCGCTGAGTTGCTGCTCACGTCCTGCCCACAGTTGTGAGGAACAGAGTGGATAATGGAAAACATCACCTCCTGGGGTAAAACTGAACCACACATTAATCAGTGAAGGCTTAAATTGCCAGTGGAAAAAAAAACACTTTTGATGAGTCGTCGCCACACTGATAGGGTAATTTTATTCAGCCAGCCATTGCTGGGAAACTTCACAGCTGTTCAATGTTTTTACTATGTGAGGCTAAAGGCTTTTAAACACTGGAGATTCACTGAACAAGAAATGTGTTTTATGTTTGTGGCGAATGTGAGAACTAAAATAAAAGTAGATTCTAAAGCATCTCTGAAGGCTAAGTAAATTTAGACTGAATATTTTATACTATGTGAAACATTTTTTCTGCTGGATTTGTTATTATTTTATAGACAGGATTCTGTACTTTTACTTTAAACCAGTCAAAAGTTTTTATTGTTTTTATGTTTTTATTATTAATTAATTTGTAATGCACATTTTAAATTTTTACAAATACAAGCATGTTATTTAAACTATTTGATCAAATTAATGATATGTTAATTGTACCTTTTTATTCTTTGTTGACAACAAATTTGCTGATTGATAAAAATGACATCTAGCTTTTTTCCCCTTTCCTTGAGAAAACATGTATTTTATTATTTTTCCCCCAAGACATTTGTTAAAATATATTTTTAACTTGTTCAGAGTTCAATACATTTATTTTTACTATATTTTAACATGAAGTAATTTAAAATCTTTGAAAATATAAACATGTGCTGTATAGTTAATAAATAACTATTTACTACAAAGCCCTGTGTGTGTGTGTGGGTGTGTGTGTGTGTGTGTGGGTGTGTGTGTGTGGGGGGGGGGATGGGGAGGGGGGTGCATGTTTTTGTGTCTTTTGTAACAAAAATAGAGTCAGCTCTGAGTTCTGAAAACAGGTCAGGTCAGGGATTTTCAAATTCTGGCCTCAAGGCCCGATGACCTTCAACATTTTGATGTGTCCCTGATTCTACACAACTCTGTCCAGTGGCTGATCTACTAAGTGTGCAGTGAAGTTGTTGAGAGTCCTGCTAATTACCTAATTATTTGACTCTGGTATGCTGAAGCAGAAACGTATCTAAAATCTGCAGGACACCGGCCCTGAAGGCCTGGCTTTGTGGATCACTGGTTTAGGTGTTTCCCTTCTGCCGCATAGCTGACCTGAATACGTGGGTGCAGTAAAGCTGCAGTATGTAAATTTTTTTAAAAAACAACTTTTTTTACATATTTTTTAAAACGTCCAGTATATTGTGATAACAAGCCTCAGCACTATGCTCCCAGTGCTAACTAGAAACAACCAAACAGTCAGGAGGAGGGTGTCAGCGATGTCAATCATCCTTGTATATGACCTGCTCAACCCCCCTTCACCTTCTCCATTTGCTCTCTTCTACCAGCAGAGCCTGTCATGTATGTTCAGCACAGTATAGTGAATAAACAGTTTTTCTGGAAAGGTAAGTTGATTTTTCACCATATGCACATTTAGTAGCGTGTTTATTGTCAATTCTAGTACCTTCTGATTGTTTTTGACCACCAGCAGTGCAGTCAGTCAGATGACAATAGTAGCCCTGGGAGAAGATGGAGAAGCAAAATCTTGTGCAATGAGGAGAAAATCAGCTGCACTCCTCCAGCTAAGCCATCAAGAATATTTGCATGTAAAATTTTAAGCTCATACATGGAGATGCACACATGTGGGTTAGCAATGAAACACAAGACAATTAAAAAATGTCCAACTTTTGCTGATGTCACTGCTGTTGCTATCAAATTCTTATATACTGGAAGAGTTTTTGTGTGTTTTGGAGCTGACATGTCATGATACCAGTTGGTTAGCACACTGTATCAGCAGGTAAGAGACCGGTTGTAAAAGTTTCCAACCAAGGAATGAGAGTACAATTAATATATTAATATAATTAATATAATTGTATTGTTCTCAGGCTCCGTGGTTTATTTGTGTTCTAAACATAGTGGTGGAAGGTTAAACTGTGCTTTAATGCATTCACTTAAAAGTAGTTTGAATTCAAAGATAATGATTCCAGTTTATAATATCTGTAACATACATGCCATGAATTGTCCCTGTGTGTGATTAAATATGGATATAAAGTGCAGAGAACTGAAGGTAAATATTACCCAAGAAAATTCTGACAAAATATGATGTTAGAAGATTATTTCTGGAAAGCTAATGTTGATGTTGATGTCTATGATGGAATATGTCTACTGTTACAACCCCTCCGCGAGACCAATAAGGGTAAATTCTGGCGCCAGGTGTAACACAGAAATCAGTAATCTGAACAATTGATGTCAGTAGCAAAATATTGTTTATTTTGCAGTTCAGGTAAAACCTCAATCACAAGAGGTAAAAAACACTGGGAGGCTTTAAGCTTTCCAAGGCCAAAATAATGAACAAAAGACTCTCTGTTTTAACTATGAAATTAAAAAGAACTTTCTAGAGGTGAAGTGGAAAAAAGTACAAAATCTGAACTCCCTGTCTAACCACAAAACAGGAGAAAACAGTTAAACAAAATGGCAGAGAACCACTACCAGCTGCCACTGTGAATAGAAACACAATTTTAGTTAGACACCTGGGCTGCAATGACTGGTCCTGGAGTTTGCTTTGTTCCAAGACTGAATGTGTTGCCTTACATGGAACGGATCGACTCAATGTTAGGATTAAACCGTGCCATAAAATAGCCGTATTGCTTGACTGGCAGGTTGGTACACTGAGTTATTTTAACATGTCTTCTGGAAATCTGAGTCTGATTCACACTTTCTATGCAAAATTCACAAAGGAGCTTTTTGCAGGTTTCTGGTTTCAGAAAGGCTCCGTGACTTTATGTGAAATATAATAAAATAAATAAATGCAAACCTTTTAGTTTTAGCTGTTGTTTTAGTAGCTTATGGTAATGTATGTATTTTTTACATTAAGAGCACATGTTGTATTTTCACTTTATGTTACTTTACTATTTAAAGAAATAATGTGGGAGATTTGTTAAAACTTATTGATGATCAAAGAAATACTTTCAAACACACAACTAACTCCAAATGAAATGTATATAGAGAAACATTATCTAAATAAAGATAAGAAAGATACAATATCATCATTTTTTTGTGCTCAGCATTAAAACTAATCTAAAGGATTAAACAAAAATATAAAACTTCAGGAAATAATGAAGTTAAAAAACTGGATATAAGCTTCAGCATAAAAAGTAAAACTAAAACATGAAGGGTCATGTCTATGAAAAAAAGCTGGAAGTGATAATGAGTGCACTAAAAAATGTGAATTGCAGAACATGTCTGTGTGTCCTTTGAAATTGAAGCTGTCCTTGGATGACGTTTTATTATCATGTGAATGTGGTTTGTCTAAACCTCTGCAGTGAAATGTCTCTACTATAAAACTACTATAAAACTACTTGTAACCAAAATAAAGTAGCTTGATGCAGTCATGCATATAATTCACACCACAGCTACTGCCAACTACAGTTAGTCTGAGAAAAAGCAGGAACCTTGTGAAAAAACAAGTTTCTAAATAATATATCTTAATCACAACAATCACTATAAAATAGGCACAACTTATCTTACATTTGCTTTCTATAATTAATCAATATTAGACTTTTCTTCATTGGATGTAAAAGTTGCTGCAGTTTTTCTGATAAGTCTTCTCATGTAATAAAATAGGACATATGATTACAGAAGACAAGGTAATGTTAGCAATCTAGAAATGCATGTAAGCTCAACGCAAAAGAATAAAATCACCACAATCTAAACTTCAATAAAAAGTTCCTAGAAGTTTCTGAACTGGAAACTTATTTTCTTATTGTAAATAAATCACTTCATAAGTAAATCATTGTAGTGATTTACTAATGAAATGATTAACAAGTCTGTAGGATTTATTGTCCCAGTATCTTATAATGCTATTATTTTATTGACACTTATCGTGAATCATAATCTCTCTTTCCATAAAGAGCAGAGTACTGTCTTTGTTCTGAGAGGAAAACAACCTGCTGAATACTATCAATCAATCAGTCAATCAGTCAATCAAATTTAATTATACAACACATTTCAACAACAAGGGAGTTCAAAGGGCTTCACATCATAAAAACATGTCATAGAAGACACAGGCAATAATTGAAGCATAACATATTTTCTTGTGGCAGCATTAAACTTCAGGATGTTTCATTTATGTTTCAAAAGCAGCTGCTAAATCCATTTCAGACTCTGAAGAATATAGAGAGGAGAGTACAACCATGTCAAGATGGAGAACCAGTTTTTAGATATTAAAAGCTGAAGGATCTGAGTTGGTCACATCTCACAAAATGAGGGTTTGAGCTTTTGATCTAATTTAAAGATATGGCCTCATACAGCTGTGTTGATATTCTTTACATTGTTTTAGATAGTTTTTTTAAGTATGAATACCTAAAGTAAAATGCTTTTAAAAAAATATGCTTAGATATTAATTGTTTACTTCTGTCTTCCACATTTACATTTTACTCCAGAATTACGAGCGACTTTCAAGTCCAAGGATTTTATTTTATTTTGGATATTCCATTCTTAATAGAACTAAATAAATAAATAAATTGAATGTATTATTTTGTCTCCTGAAACTGTACATTCTCTATATTATTCTGGAAGACATAGGAAACATGGACCTGCTATCGGCATGTTTTGTTATCATTACTGTGTTAACAAGATATTACACATTTAGTTCTTAAAGAAATAGAACAGAGTTCATTGATCAAACTTTTTATGGCACCAAAAAAAAAATATATATATATTAAGACAACGCAAAGCAGAAAATAATATAGATTTTTTTGACACAAGGGAAATGCAGAATAACACACTTTGATGTGAATTTAGCATGAACGAAATTGTAATGAATACTTAGGAGATTATAGAAGACATGACCTGTAAGAAGTTTGTTATTAGGGTAGTTTTGAGCTTAATCTTTGATTCTCCTACTGAAAGATTTATAACAGTAAATGTTCTTAGATTAGATATCAAGGCCAAAGTTCTTGTACTAATGCTGTTAAATATTAACTTTTCTCTTTGGAATAAATCTGGTGACAGACTTCAGTCATCAGTCAGAAGACTTTCATACAGATCTTCTCCTTTTCATAGATTTATGCTTTTCAGGCGTCTATGACTGTGTTTTTGCAAGAAGAAAAAAATACTGAAGCAAGATGTCTAGTATGAAGTAACCTATGAAGATAAAATACAACCTTACTGAAAAGTGAGGAGCTCTAAAACAAAATGTCTGCAGAAGAGGATGGGATCATGTCAGGTGGGAGGTAAGTGAAGCTTTTTTGTTTTAAGTCTTTTCTGAAAAAGGTCCTCAAAAGAAAAGTAATAAGTAATGATAAACTGATCATTATTATTAAGGATTTTCAAAAATTACATCTTAAAACTTAAAGATTGTTTTATTGAAAGACTAATTAGCAAAGCAATTCCATTCTCTGAATCTGTAAACTTTGTTTCCATGTGCAGCGATTTGCCTAAAAGTAGTTTTATATTACACATAAATTTAGTAGTGTCAATGTGGCATGTTTGGAAAACCCCCCACAAATACTATGGTTTGTTTGTAGACACTGTGTGACATTAGTCCAAAAGACTTAATTTAATTTATTTGAACTTCTTGTTAAGATTTGCAGAAACAAATGTACAGATTGAAGAATATATAGTAGTACAGATTTAAGTTAATGAATAATATCTGGTTTTTGTTTAATTCTGTCCAAACAGCTTTTTTTGAAAGAAAAATCTTTTATTCTGAACTTTACTTTCTCATCTGTTTTTGTTTTATTGTTGGTTTTATTGAACACGGCCCAATTTACTTATGGCTGTAACAAACGCTCACAGATCACCTAATTTGAAAATACCCTGACAATAGCACAACATGTCAATATATACAACCTGAAACAAAAATATTAGTCTCTTAATATCCTTATTATTGTTCTCTTTGTTTATCCTAATGATAAAGTTGAAGCTGTTTAGAAAATGAGAAAAGCCACGACAAAAACAAGTTGACATTTGAGTCAACAAATGTTGATTCTGAAAGAGTGAATACTTGGTTTTCCAATGATCTCAAATACATGGAAATAAAAAAAAGGTGTTGTTCTTCATTAAGTGTGCCTTAATGACATTTAGGGTCTTTGTAATTTGCAAGCACAATAAAAGAAAAACAGACATTAATTGCTTTTGCAGAAATCAAAAATCCTTTTCCGCTCAGTTAAATATTAAAATTATCCACTCTATCATTAATTTATCTTTTGTATTTAATTACATTAATTCAATAATTTTTAATTAGATAAAAATAATAATAGCATTTCATGGCTGAGCAAAGCATTATGTTTGTTAAAGCTTGTCATATAAAATACATTTTGCTGTTTGTCTTCTAGCTTACCTCGGCACCAAACTCCAATCTCTTCTTCAGTGAGTTTAAAAAGTGACAGATCCAAGGATGAACCTTTAAGGTTTGACTATGAAGATAAACGGTAAGACACTTTGGTAATATTTCATGCATTTTCTTAGTAAAACACAATAAAAAGCAGTAAAATGTACAATGATGATATAGTTAATTCTGCTCAAAACATAGTTCATAGCTTTTGAGACTTTTGAAAATGATTTTAATCCGCAGAGCATTATGTTCATTGTGAAATAATCATGAAAAGAAAAGATAAAATGATATAATTTAAATAAAAATTAAGTAGATAGCTTCAATTCAAAAGGTATGCCCTGTTCTTTATGAGTTTGTATGATCACTTTAAATAAAACAGAAAAACATGCATCAAACAACTTTCACTGGAAAAAAAATCAGAGTCACAATCTGGTTTATTGGCCAAATTTGTGAAATACTGTTGCAGTCTGAACTTATTCTGCTTTGGTATAAATGGTCAAAGACCTTTCCTTGAAGCCATTATTTCCTAATTTAATTAAAATTGATACTCTTGGTAAGTGAATTCTGGTCAAAAGATAGTCAATAGTTTTTTAGACTTTTGAACATTATTTTAATGCAAAGAGCATTTCTGGAAACTCTGCTTTCATCTATCAACTTCAACTTTTTGTATTTTTTGCATTTTCACATAAAATGTTCACTTGATTTTTGTTAATTTCTCATTTGTTAAGCATTTACAGTATAGCTTGCCTACATTATCTGCATTATGAGTCGGATCAAATAATGAACCAGACGTGTGACCGAAAAGTTTCAGACTCAAGTTGTGTGGGCATGTAGTTTCATTAGCAGTGAAATAGAAAAATAACAACATTCTCAGCAATAACTCAATAATTTATAATAGTCATAGGCCATAAAAGATGCAGCTTGTATGGCTGTATTGATTATGGAAAATAGTCATTAAAGATGGCATCTTTTTAGGCCCACTGGTTCCACTGGGCCAAAGTACTGAAAGAGTTCAGGTATTGGGAGTTTTGTCTCTGGCATTCTTTTTTCGCTGGATTCTTGTTTATGTTCTGCTGAAATTAATTTTATTGCAAAGTGACTCGAGACATTCATTAATTACTGCGACATAAATTGAATCATTATTGATTTGGTTTTTTTTAAATGTTAATGCAAAACAGAAAAAACATGATTGATTCATTACTTACAATATTTAAAAATTAGTTTTATGCAAAAGTGTCTTTTTTCTACCCTAAACGGACAATTATCCTAGGGGAAGCAAACCCTTAATTTCAAATATTTTTAAAAAATATATATGAAAGTGTGTCATTTTAGCCCAGATACATCGGAAAATGGAAATGAAATAATTTCCAATTATATACATGAGTCTGCCCATTTAGCGGATAATTTAATAATTTCTAATTAAATATAAATATAACTAATAATTGCTGTAGACAGGCGAGAAGAGCATTATTTATTGCAACATTCTGACTTTATTCTATTAATTCAATCTGGAGAGACTCAGACACAGAAAGAAAGCAATTAGAAAAGTTTATTGACAGCATAAATTAAGTTTTTGGCGCTCAGGCCCCGGCTAAGGACATCGAGCTATGATTGCGATGAGCTCGGATGAGCATTCCCGATGCTGATAGGAATGTCATCCCCCGGGACCCGACCTGTAGGTCGGTGAATGAAGTATGCCTGGAGAGCCAGGACAGTGGAGGTGCAGAAGGGCTGGAGGTGGGTTGAGCGCAGCAGCGAAGCGGAAGACGTCTTGGATGGACGTCCTTATCAACTGCAGCGTGGTCAGTGATTGGCCGTGACATGGCTTGGTCCAGTGATGATAGGTCGTCGGTGATTAGCGGGATGCGGCAATTAGATGATGCAGGTTGGACTAAAAGTCTTCCAGTTTGAATTTACGCCTAGGCTTCATTTTAAGAATGAAACTATTTTAATGGAAAGAGCATTATGTTCATTGGAAAATTACGCAAAGAAATATAAACAGAAACAATGACAAGACATAGTTGAAATAAAAATCAGGTGGATAGTTTTAACTCGAAAGTCATGCTCATAGGAAAACATGCATCAAGCAACATGCACTAATATTTTATTTGAAGATATAATTATTTCTTATTTTAATGTAAATTGATCTTCTTGGTATGTTTTGCAGAAATAAATTAAAAGATTGAATCATTTTTAGTAATACAGAATAAAGTTACCGATTTTTTTTTTCAATGTTTTTGTTTAATTTTGGTCATTCTGCTGTTTTTCAAAGGAAAATTTTTCACCCTGAATATTATTTTCTCAGCTGTTTTGGTTTTGTTGTTGATTTTATTAAGCATTGCACTATTTACTTTTGTGGACAGTACTTAAATGCACATCTAAATAATATTTACATCTGATAAAATCTGTATGCAATTAAATGATTACAAGTCAGACTGGGATTTAAATTTTTTCTTTGTTCAGCCATTGGAGTGAATCAGCCAAGAAAATTCAGGAAGCTTTTCATGTGCAACATCATGTTTTGGTCATTTGTATTTTACATAAAATCATTCTATGAAAATCAGGATAATAAAAGTGAAGATCACTGAATAGAAAAATAAATTTTTTTTTTTTGCAAAGAAACCTGAAACTGTGTGAGTCAAAACCAATTAGTAGAAAAATGTATGTAGCTAATCAAATAACAAAAGAACCAAATTATTATTTTTATTGGAAACATGTACTGCAGTGTTTTGGTTTAGAAACAGGTCTGGCACAAGGATCCAATATTCTCATCAAAGGACATAAAAGAAACTATTTTTTCTTTTGTGTTTAAGTTCACATGATGACAAAGAACCAGAGTCTCCTGGACCAACTGGTGTTATTACGTCTTACGATGTGCGAAGGAAAGATATGTCAGCAAAGCATTCACAGACTAAAAGTTAATTTGATACACAAAAACTCTTTGCTGTTATAAAACTAATTTTATTTATTATGTAATATAAGGTTTTAGCTCTGTTACACTGGTAGCCAAGTAACGACATTTCGTTGTCAAGATTCACCTTGTGTTTTTTTTGTACAATGACAATAAAGGAAGTCTAAGTCTAAGTCTCTAAGTCTAAGAAGAACATATTTTATAAAGTAACAAAATGATGCTGAAAAAGTGAGTCCAAGAGGAATGAGATCTATAAACCATGATGTTCTGTAGGAGATGTTAAGGTGGATCATTTTCTATTTCTTTATTAGGGAAGATTAACTACCAATCAGTACAAAACTGATGTGAGTCATCACAAAGTTTCTGTTTCGTGCACTAAAAAACTATAAAAGTGGTTGCTTAAACACTAACAGCCTCAATAATACGTATCAATTATTGAAGTTCTGTAATAAATTGTGATATAGGTGGATAATAGTGAAGAGATTTTGTAAAATATATATATATTTTTTATTTTTAATAGCAAAGTTTTCATCCCTTCTGATCTAAAAAGTAAGCTTACTTAACATGTCAAAGTATTTTTATCTAAGTTCCTAAGAGACTTAATACAATACATTCTTGAATTTTGAAATGACAATAAATGTCTTGTTTTAAGATCCAATGGCTGATTACTTAAAAGTTAAGTGAGGTTAAAAATACATTTATTTTAATTATGTTTTTTGTGTTTGCTTTGAGTTTGCATTACCTAGTCATATATATTCAAATCAAACTTTTAACATATTTTTAACACAAAACCACCAGGTTTAGCAAGTTTCTAGATGAAACTCTGCTATATCATCCAAATTTTATCTTTAGTATACAAAAGACATAGTATAGATGGCTTTCTATAGTATAGCTTGCCTACATTCTCTGCAGTGTGAGTGAGATAAAATAATGTGATACAGAAGTGACTGAAAACTTTCAGATTCAAGTCACGTGGGCATGTATCTTCATCCGCAATGAAAAGGTGAAGAAACAGCATCCTCAGCAATAAGTTTATCATTTATAATAGTCATAAGGCATTAAACATGCAGCTTTTAAAGATATATTATTTCTTCTTTTCTAGAATTTTGCTGTTTTATACAATTGTTATCATTTCAATGCCTAAAACTTATTGATCCAAGTTGTTTTGCCAACTGGAAGTACGTGATCGCAATTTTATCTATTGAAAACCATGGATTGATAAAATAAACATGTTCAGTTCAAAAACTGTTTTTGTTAAATTATTGAATAAATAGACATATTAACTCAACGACAATTATATTTAATTGTTTTAATTGGTTGCTTAGGTTATGTTACCTATTCATATTTTTACAAAGTGATATTATATCAGCTTTCAAGTGTTTCAGGAACCTCTTTATCATTCATTTCACTTCTTTGAAAATATACTTCTTTACAAATATGGACTGTCAATGCTGACATTATCAATGGAGATATCTGTGCTTCCTGCAACAGGTTTTGTGTTAAGAAGGTATTTTAGGTTTGAATATCTTCATGTTCCAGTCGGAAACTTTGTATGTAAAAAGAAAACAAAACAACAGCAAAAAAACCGATTAATTGCATAAATATTTTAAAATGTATGCAATTAATTGATTAAAATGAATACGATAAAATCCTGGCCCCAGTGAAAATAAATTACAAATCCACTGTTAACTGAAACATGATCACTACATTATGTCCATTTGAATAAATCTAAACCAAAAGAGTTAAATATCTTGTATTTTTCTGCAGTGATTCTAATGACATCCAACCTGAAATTCTGTTGCAGCTGACACAGGTGAGCATGACTTAAAAAGAAAAGGTTTTAAGTTCAACTGTCCATTGGCTTTAGAGATTAATGAATACATACTTTTAAGGGACGAGTTATGTGTCAAATTATATTTTTTAATTGTAAAATTTGATTTTACTTGGGGCTTTTTTTTATGTTGTTTCTATTGCCACCAGAAAATAAAATTAATTGCTTCTATGAAGACCAAGTTTTTTTTTTCTCTCCATAAATTATAAAGCCTCAAATCTTGTGAATCTTTAACCAGTATTGGTAAGGTCTTATAATTGCAGCCCCTAATAAAATATCAACAATACTTGATATTTCAAGGAAAAAAATGTCAATGGTGTAAACTAATAATAATTTGCTCAGGTGACTCTTAGTGAATTTTATCACTTTTCAGCTTAGTTTAAATTGCTACCCGTAAGAAATGAATATTAGAACAGATTATTGCTGAAAATATATTCTGAAGAGTGTTGGAAATCATTTGTATCAAATATGTTATGGTTATTCTATTTGTACAAAATATAAAAATTTAAATTTACATGAAAAAGAGATGAAGGAATGACAGGAGATGAAAAGAGATTCCTAAGAAGGTGAATAAACAGGAAAGTGACCCAAAACTCTCTGAGATAGTGATGTTTGAAAGTGGGAAAAAGAACCTAATCACGCCCAAGAATTTATTTACCAACAATAAATCTCTGATTTCCAAATTTACTGATATGTCCAAAAATGTGCGAACTGTTCTGATGGAAGGAGTTCCTGGTGTTGGTAAAACTTTTCAAACAAAAATGTTCATGAAGGACTGGGAAAACAAAAAATCCAACAAACACATAAAGGCTTTAGTGTCCCTTGAATTTGCTGAGTTGAATACAAAGAAGGATGAAGTAAAAAGCATGAAATCTCTGCTGAATGATTTCTTCAACCAAAGAAACGTTAGTGTTTCTAAAGATGACAAGAAAAAGATATGTTTCATTCTTGATGGTCTGGAAAATTGCAAACTTCCTCTTGACTTTGAAAACAACAAAAAAGTTAAAGACTTGAAGAAAGAAGCATCAATGGATGAGCTGCTAACGAATCTGATCAAAGGAAATCTGCTTCCTGAAGCTCATATTTGGATAATTTCTCAACCAAAAGGAGTTGATAAGATTCCTTCTAAACATATCAACAAAACTGTTCAATGTCAAGGTAAGAATATCCATCTAAATTACACTTAGATTGTACACAAAATGATCATTTGTGTTGACTATTCAAGACTTATATGATTTTACAAATTTTTATGACTTAAATCAATTAAAAGTAATAAAAATAATCCTGTTGCTGCAAATTGTAAAATAAAGAAGAATTATCATGGAAAAGCAAGCAGCTTCTAAGTAGACCAAGTTATTTTCTCCCTTACATTAAACTGGTAAAGCCTCATAAATATTTTATACATGGGTTGTTTGGGCAGCTCATCATTGACCCACTTTGTTTTTGTATTAAAAAATGTTAAAGGTTGACAGAAAATTTGAAAACATGTGAAATTGGAAGACATTATTGCTAATACTTGAGCACCAGCTAAAAAAGGCTCACAAAAAATGCAATTAAATATGTTCTTTGTAATTAATTGCTAATTAAGTAATCCGTCATCAAATTTTACACAACGTACTTTATGATGATCTGGCAAAAAGTAAAGAAAAGGAAAATAAATGTTTTTGTAAAATTGACAATGATAAAAATAATTTGTATTTCTAACTAAATATTCTTAGGGTACAAAATGTATCTATTTACTGTCAATTTTACTGTGTTATGGAATTTTCTTTACTCCAACCATTTTGCTTTTTTAATGTCTGCAGCTATCTGTATTTTACTGGTTGTGATTGGTTTTTATACTGCATAGAATTTTATGTTGTACTTTTTGCCCATTTAGTATGTTATTATTGATTCTCTTTTAATATATTTTAGATTTTTATATGTGTGCAACTCTATACATATTTTGATTGATTGGTCACTTTGCTGCTGTTACACTGAAATTTCCCCACTGTGGGACAATGAAAGATATTTCTATTCTATTGTATCAAGTTACACTCACAGATACAGAGTCAAGGAAATGCCAGAACAAAGTGGAGCTAACATGTATCAGATGTAAATGCACATGCTGCATATTCTTTGTTCACATATTTGCAGTCACATAAGCCTCACTGTGTGCTCAATGTGAAACTCTAAAAGATCAACTATATCTCTCCCTTAATTCAGTCGCTCTTAGAGATTTGAGTTGAGTGTATTTGAGCCGAGCAAGCAGTGGGTTTTAATACCTGATGCATATTTTGCTCTAATAGTCTCCAAAAAGATAGCCTTCCTATAACAATCACTAACATGCTGGTAAAGTAAACCAGCTTTGCAAGAACATTTTCCAAATACATCATTTTGAGTGAAATAGGGTTTGCACAATCCACAGGAAGTTACAGAAATTTGGAGGTGCACAAAAAACATATTCATTTAGTGACACTAGTTCAGTGGATCTTATTGTTATTTAGCTGAGTTCAACTTGTTGTCAGGAAGAAATACAAATTTTTACGCAATAATTCTGAAGGTAGTGTTTTTAACACTGCTTAAAATATCAAGTTATTGTTATTCCTGTTATTCACATATCATATTTTTTCAATGACAGGAGAGGCCAAGGAAGAAAAATACCTGAAGGAAGTCATTCTTGAGAAGGTGGGTCAACAGGAAAGTGACCCAAAACTCTCTGAGATAGTGATGTTTGAAAGTGGGAAAAAGAACCTAATCACGCCCAAAGATTTATTTACCAACAATAAATCTCTGTTTTTCATACTTCATGGTATGTCCAAAAATGTGCGAACTGTTCTGATGGAAGGAGTCCCTGGCGTTGGTAAAACCTTCCAAACAAAAATGTTCATGAAGGACTGGGCAGAAGAAAACTCCAATAAACACATAAAGGCTTTAGTGACCCTTGATTTCGCTGAGTTGAATACAAAAGGATGAAAAAAAAGCATGGAATCTCTGCTGAATGATTTCTTTAAGAAAAAAAATGCTGTTTTCAAAGATGACAAGAAAAAGATATGTTTCATTCTTGATGGTCTGGAAAAGTGCAAACTTCCTCTTGACTTTATAAACAACAAAGATGCTAAAAACTTGAAGGAAGAAACATCAATGGATGAGCTGCTAACGAATCTGATCAAAGGAAATCTGCTTCCTGAAGCTCATATTTGGATAATTTCTCAACCAAAAGGAGTTGATAAGATTCCTCCTGAATATATCAACAAAACTGTTTCTCTGTCAAGGTAAGAATATTTATCAACTATGTCAATTACTCTCAATTTAGCTACTGTACATTTTTATTGACTTTATTTAAGACATATGATTTTACATCATTGTACAACTTTACTTTGTCTGATTAGAAACATATGAACAACAGAAGAAGTTGGAGTCACGTCTGAGAAATAGATTTCTGAAAGAAATCACTGATGAAAAGATGAAACCAGTCATCCAAACCAGAAAACAACAGAACATATCATCAGAAGAGAAAATGGCTCTGAAGAAAGAGAAAGTAAACAAAACAATTTTCCAATAGTGAATCAACTTCCTGAGATCTTCAAAGATGTGAAAGAAAAGAAAACTAGAACAGTGATGACCATTGGAGAAGCTGGAACAGGAAAATCTTTTCATATGAAAAAAATTATAAAAGAATGGGCTAAAAAAGAAAATGAGAAAAGGTCATTTTTCACCTCAATCACAAGTCCATTCTCTAGCCAGGTAAAACCTGCAGAACTTTTGTTTCTTATTGATTTCTCAAAGCTCAACTTGATAAAAAATAACATCAGTTTCTTTGAGCTTCTTAATCACTTCTACAAGGAAACCAAAGATATCATCATCTCTGACTATTCCCAGTTAAATATTTTATTTATTTTGGATGGACTTGATGAATACCAACATTGTTTAGACTTTGAAAACAATGAAATCTTGAGTGATAGAGAACAAACATCAGTCAATGTGTTACTAACTAACCTTATAAGAGGAAACCTGCTGCCAGAGGCCAAGATCTGGATAACGTCTCAGCCTCCAGCTGCTGAGAAAATCCCTGATGGTTTCATTGACAGACTGACAGAAATACGAGGTAAGATCTGCAGATACAAATTTCTTACAATTAGATTGAACTTTAATGTATTTTCTGACATTTAAAACTGTTCCAGGTACCAGGATGTAAAATAAATTGGTACTTAAGTTTCATTTATTAAAATTAGATCAAGTTGATAAAAACAAACACAAAAAACAAATTCAAAATTCAAAAAGCACAAATTCCACTCTAAGTCTGACAGTTTAAAGAAACAATGATTAAAACTATCTTCATAAAAAAGGAAAATCAGATTAAAAAAATATAATTCTGAAAGAAAGTTTTGTACTCCACAAAAAGCCATTGCTAACAATTGTTTTTTTTCTCAGCTTCATTTGTCATATGATCTTGAGACAATATTATTTTCCGCTGCTCATTAAGTCCTTCCAAAGATGAATTTATTAATTTGTAAACAGTGCATTATCTGTGTATTTCTTCTTTTCATTTTTTTGCTTTGATATGGTGGACCTGTAGTGAAAACCACTTCAACAAATCATTCAATAAATCACTAAACACAACTAAAAATTGAAAGACCATAACATATTCATTCACAAATACTCATGAATAATTTTGTATTGCAAAGGTGATACAAAATTAGGTGTTGATAATAAGTCATTTTCAACACCTATTTCTAAGCTCAGCTGACTGTTGAGTTGGAGCAACAACCTTAAATTGGTGTTTCTTCAAGGTTGGAGGCTGAAAGGCAGAGCTGTTCCTTCATGCAGAAGTCGACGTTGCTTTACTAGTCGAATGTTACAACTTCTCATACAGTTATATTGATCCATTTCCAGATGTTTATTGGTCCACACATGAGCATTCACTCTTTCCATATCAGGTATAATATCCATATCAGTCATTCTTGGTGCATTCACTGACCATCTGCAACATAAAATATATAATTTTTAATTCAACCCATGACAGCAAGAACTTGGTTTGACAAAAATATATCCCACATATATTTTGAGTGATCTACAGCAACATCTGTAGTTTTAAGTTTAAATCTGCTGTGTGGTTGGATTTTCAGCATTAACATTACATAAATACCCCTATAACAGAAAATTGCAAAAGTTTAGTTTTAGTTTTTCATTTGTCACACTGGAACTGGCCAATGTTTGCGATTAGTAATCTTTTATTGTGTGTGTTTTAGTCTTTGTCAAAAGAATATATAAAATTGTTTCAAAAGTATTTAATCTATATTTTCTGTTTATTTATATTTTATTTTTCAGAGAAGCCTGATATCACAAGTCAAAGAAAACTCAAAAGTCAACTAAAAGATCAATTCACCAGTGTGTTTGAAGGGATTGATGGACAGAAGACCTCAGCTCTTCTCAGAGAGGTTTTCACTGACCTCTACATCACAGAAGGAGAGCGTGCTCAGAATGAAGCCATGGAGATTCAGGATGCACAGTTCAAGACAACAAATGAAGAAACATCTATTAAATATTGCGACATCTTCAAACCTGCAAAATATGATCAAAACATTAAGACTGTGCTCACCGTTTGGAGTGGCAGGAATAGGAAACATTTGCCTCAATGAAGTACATACTTGACTGGGCAGAGAGCGAAGCAACAGAAAACATTCATTTCATTTTTCCACTTCCATTCCGAGAGCTAAATCTGAGAGCAGATAAAGAATGCAGTCTAGAAGATCTGATTCATCAGTTCTTCCCAGCAATGAGGACTTCTGAAATAACTGACTATGACGAATACAAGATTCTGATTGTTCTGGATGGTTTTGATGAATGTCGTCTTGATCTTGAGTTTCAGTGAAACAAAAAAATTGAGTGATGTCACAACACCAACCTCGATAAATGGTCTGTTGTCAAATCTTATCCTGGGAAATTTGCTCCCTAAAGCTCAAATCTGGATCACTTCTCGACCTGCAGCATCCAACAACATTCCTCCAGAAAAAGTTGATCGAATGACAGAAGTGAGAGGATTTAATGATGAGCAGAAGAAAAAGTATTTCATGAAACGATTCAGTGATGAGAAAGTGGCTGAAAAAATGGTCATATGTGAAGAAATCAATGATTCTTAATATAATGTGCCACATCCCTATTTTTTGTTTCATCACATCAAAGGTTTTGAAGGACTTTGTTGAAAGAAACAAAAATGATGGACTGCCAAAAACTCTGACTGACATGTACACAAATTTCCTTTTGCTCCAGCGCAGACAGACAAAAGCAAAATACAACACAGATCAGTCAACCTCTGAAATCTCTGGAACCTCTGGAACAGAAACATCCTGTGATAAAACTAATGATGAAACAATCATGTCTTTGGGGAAACTTGCTTTCAAAGGGGTGAAAGAGAAGAACCTTCTCTTTAGTGAGGAAGATTTGACCAGTTGTGGGACTGATGTAACCAAAGCTGCTGTTTTCTCTGGGTTGTTAACTCAGATCAAACGTGAAAATCATGAGCTTTACCCTCAGAATATGTTTTGCTTTGTCCATAAAAGCATTCAAGAGTACATGGCAGCTCTTCATGTCTTCCACTCATTTAATAGCAAAGGGGAAAATGTGTTCATAGAACCAACTTCAGCATCCTCAGATTCAATTGCCTCAGAGTTTTATAAGAATGCAGTGGACATGGCTTTTGAGAATGAACATGGGGACTGGGACATGTTCCTTCGCTTCCTAGTGGGTCTCTCTCTGGAATCTAATCAGGATTTACTTCAAGATCTGATTGATAAGAGTGAAAAACACAAAGATGCTAGTAAGGAAGCAGCAGAGTACATCAAGAAGAAGATCAAAGAGAACAGTGACCCAGAGAGAAACCTTAATCTTTTCTACTGTCTTAATGAGCTGAATGACCACAGCCTTGTTCAGGAAATCCAAAGTGATCTTCAATCAAAAGAAAAAGATTTTGAAAAGTTTACTGCTTCTCAGTGGTCAGCTTTAACCTTTGTGCTGCTGACATCAGATCAAAACCTTGACGTGTTTGATCTTAAGAAATACCTGAAATCAGAGAAAGTTCTTCTGGGATTGATGCCAGTGGTCAAAGTCTCAGAGACTACTTTGTAAGTATTTTTATAAAACAGCTACTTTTACATTTATTACTATTTACTTTTAAGGCTGTCATAAATTAATATCTTCATACAAATGCCATACTTCCATCAGTTTGAACCTTGATGAAACAACTCACTCAATCATAATCTTCACCTCAACAAGAGAAAGCTGCAAAATATTAATGTGAAAATAATTTTAAGTTGCTTCCAAGTAGTGTTTACTATAGTTTCCTAGTTCAAAACAATACTTCATGTTACTTTCTTCATTGTGATAAAAATATTAATATTACACATGAGAGTTGGCTTTTGCCATTTGTCTAGTTTGACAACACAGACATGATAATTTATCTTTACTGTTGTTTAAAGCAAGACTTTTACTTTGTTCCTTCACTGTGATCCTTTGTTATTTTAGAAGAAAATCACACATGGGTTTTTCAATGTAACTTGTTTGTTTTCATGGATCTTTCTACAGACTGAGTTGGTGTGAGCTCTCTGAAGAATCTTGCGACGGTCTGACATCATCAGTGCTGACCAAACCATCCTCAAATCTCACAGTGTTGGACATGAGTCATAATGATTTGCTGGATGCTGGAGTGATGCGACTTGCTGATGGGTTGAAAAATATGAACTGCAAACTAGAGACTCTCAAGTAGGTTTTTATTAATGAAAGTGATACATTAACCAGTGTTATAGTTAGAAACTGTTTTGAGTTTATAAATTGGTTTGTCCCAAGACTTAAGGTTATTCTATGTGTTCGCAATTCTTGTTAGTGTTAAGTGTCAATAAAATACAACAGTCCCATTAAAGTGGTACTGAGAATGATAAAACTAAAGTTTAGAGACAAACAGCCCATGTATAAATTAAATAA